CCTTATAGTCAACAAAAAAACTGGCTTATGAAGATCCTGGTGGAGCACCATGCATGGTTTGTTGGCCATGATCAGCTTAACAACACATTATTGCACCATCCTGCTTTAAACCGCATGCCGATTTTCACCTGACTCAGTCATTGGCCTCTGATGTTTAAGCTTAAGCTTCCATCTAATAACACTTTTCAAAGAAAAGTACTCATTACAACAGAGAAGAGCCATGACCAGCAAGTATATCTGTGGGAGAGAGAAATGGGAGAGCCGAAAGCAAGTGGCAACACTAAGAAGAGGAAGAGACGGTGACCTCATGCCACTGAATTGGAAAACAAGACAAGGCAGAAGTTGAGCATGAATTTCAACGACTCTGGGGGACAGGTGTAAAATTTCTGAAACACTTTGTGCTGAGCAACACACCCTCCAACATCTGACACAACTAAAATAGGAACAAGTCATGAGTAGGCAAGTCACAAGGGACATCAGAAGATCCCGTTGTACATTTCTCTCACTCCCTAATAAGCATTCCTCAGATTAATCAACATAGTGCTGAAATATTCCTACACTAAAAAAAGTCATTTGAAGCATTTCAAAAGGATATTGTGCCAACTCAAAATATACAGCTACCATAGAAATTCCAAGATTAGGTTTAATCTCAATACAGGGAGTCCTTGGTTTATGACCACAACTGAGCCCAAAACTTCTGTTGCTAAGCGAGACATTTGTTAAATGAATTTTGCCCCATTTTATAACCTTTTTTTGCCACAGTTATTAAATGAATCACTATAGTTGTTAAGCTAGTAACATGGTTGTTAAGTGAATCTGGCTTTCTCATTGCTTGTCAGGAGGTTACAAAAGGTGATCAGTAACAGAGTTGGAAGGGACTTTGAAGGTCATCTAGTCCAACCCCCTGCTCACGCAGGAGACCTGTACTAAAGATTCGAACTGCCTACCTTTCTGATCGACAAGCTCAATGCCCACTGAGCCACACATGACCCTTGGACACTGCAATTGTCATAAATATGAACCAGTTGCCAAGCATCAAGGTCCTTTGCTTTTTTTAATTTTGATCACATGACCATGGTGATGTTGCAACACATAAGTGTGAAAAATGGTCATAAGTAACTTTTTCTAGTGCCGTTGTAACTTTGAATGATCACTAAATGAACTGTTGTAAGTTGAGGACTACCTATACATTATTAGGACATCCGTTTCTTAAAGCCAAAACAGAAATGGAGCATATGCAGGTTGTTCACCCAAGAACTTGAAACAAAGAATGGGGTGTTAATATATCTGTAAAGTTACACAGTTGTAGTTCAGGGCTTAAATCAGTGAGGTATGTCTAAGGGTCAAGGGACCTCCACTAACATCCTAAAAATAAAATAACAGAAATACTGTGAATTCAGTTGTTCTCAAGAGCTTTCAGCGATCTTGGACAAGGATTTAAAGAATCTGTTCTGCATTATTTCAAAGATATTTCCGATAGTTTGTGACATCTTAGAATCATAGATGGTACCCCCCAGTCAAGAAAATGTGTTGAATTATAATGTAAATTGTAATAAGTTCTGGAGGAATATAGAACACAGTATCTCCATTTAGGGATAGAATGAAATTGCAAGTAAAGCATGCATGGAATCTGAATATACCTAGCTGAAGCCAAGCACCACAATTCCATTGTAAAGAAAAGTCAAAGAAAATTGACTGGCTTTGACTCAGTGCCTATAACAAAGAGGAAAGATGTCAGAGGAAGTACATAATCAGGTTCAATCCCAGAATAGTAAGAGAAACTATATTATACAGGATAAAAGTTCAATTGACAAAAAATGTAATTTGGGCTGTTTAGGAACAAGAGAAAGCTTGAAGAACATGTGTCATTCCATTCCATTAACTAGGACATATATCAACCAAGGTTGATGTCTGAAATTTTAGGGTCAGTTCTGAAGAAAAGCAGCCAAGAAGCTTTACATTTGGTATTAAGATTTACCAATATTCGTTGCAGCATTGGATCTCTTAAGTTCCAAGTTGCCCCAAATTCAGAAGAGAAATACGAACATCAAAGTTGTTCTTTGTTCTTAAAAGGCTTTTAAGAAGAGACCTGTCTGAAATGGTATAGGGCAGTGATGGCAAACCTTTTAGACACCGAGTGCCCAAAATGCAACCCAAAACCCACTTATTTATTGCAAAGTGCCAATACGGCAATTTTACCTGAATAATGAGGTTTAACTACCTAAAATAATGATTAAACAAGGCAGAGTTCAGCTAATTGTTCTAAGAAAAATGTGATAAATGCACTTTTATGCCCCTTCATTTTTTTTCTGCTTTTGAAATATTACGTTTAGCAACAATAAAAAAGAAAAACTTTTGTAATATTATTTCTCTTTCCCTCCCTCTCTTTCTCTCCTATTTTCCTCTTTCCCTCCCTCCCTCCCTCTTTCCCTCTCCCTCTCTTTCCCTCCCTCCCTCTCTCTTTCTCTCTCTGTCTCTTTCTCTGTGTCTCATCTATCTATCCATCCCTCCATCATCTATCTATCTACCTATCTACCTATCTACCTATCTACCTATCTATCTACCTACCTACCTACCTACCTACCTACCTACCTACCTACCTACCTATCTATCTATCTATCTATCTATCTATCTATCTATCTATCTATCTATCCATCTGTGCTCTCCTGCCCAGCTTCACATGTCATAGGAATCCAACCACTTGGGTTGTGGAGGAGGAGTGGAGGCTCGCAGGCAAAGCCAAACATTGGAGATCCACGCAAAATAAGGCAACTCCAACCTGGATCCTGTCGGGAAGACACCCCCCTCCCTCTCCCTCTCTCCCCCCATGGCAGGGGCTTGGGCAGCCTGAGCGCACCTCCCTCCTCGGAGGTGACCAGCAAGCAAACAATGTGGCGCTTCGGCTGGGAGGTGAAGGCGCAGAGCGCTACCTCTGACCGGCGACAGCTGAGCAGGCAGGGCGTCAAACATCTGGAGCTGCGCTCAGCGGAGTTCGCAAGTGGGCGTTGTGGGGCTGCTTAGCGGGGAGACCCTGACCTGTTTGGTTCACTTCAGCAGGGGTGGGAACGCAGAAGGCAGAGGAAATCTGTGCTTTTCGGCATTCCTCAAAGACTCCTTTGGGGTGGCTGGGAGAGGAGGGCGAGGGGTGGGGCCAGCCAGTGGTGGGATCACCCAACAGGGAGCCGCAGCAGAGGGACAAAAGAGCCCGTGACTTGCTGTCACCCATCCTAGGGCTGGGGCGACAGCGCACATGCTCACAGAGAGGACTCTACGTGCCACCTCTGGCATACATGCCATAGGTTCGCCACCTGGGGTATAGGGTATCCTGCTTAAGCAGACTTAGAAGACCTCCAAGTCCCTTCCAACTCTGATATTCTTATTCTGTTCTGTTCTATTCTATTCTAAATTCTACACTCTACTCTACTCTATTCTATTCTACTCTACTCTCCATTCACTGAGTTTGCCATAAAAGCTCTGAATGATACTAGGAGAGAGGCATTATGGGAAATTAAAAAAAAGATCTCAATCTAGCTGCCAGAAGAAGCCAAAGGCATGAATCTTCGGACATAAGGATGCCTAGAGTTGATGTCAGCCCAATGTGTAATTCTCCTTTTCTCAGTTTGCATGTTCTGGAAATCACTGTATCATTCCTTTGAGCATCATGGCTTTCTTATCCTTAGTTTAGTTACAGTAGGAGAAAGCTGAAGTCTATCACTTCCGGAAGATATGAGTGTGGGGGAACCTGATCTGACATCTTACACACTTTCTGTGTATTATGCAAAGTTGCTGTGGCTGTTCCCATACCATGCCAGAAATAAATTATACGGAAATAATATAGGCATTATAGAACTACTGTTATAAATCCCACAACATCACACCCAGTGAAATGAATGTAATATATAAAAAGTACAAAGGAATTAGCAAATTCCTAAAATAACTTTAACATACATATAGCAAAAATAGGCAGCATCTTAAATTTCATGTTTTAAACTCAGTACTGTATAATTAAAAGAGATTTGGTGGTATATTCTGCTGATTTCAAAAGTAGGCTTTAAGATTTCCTGCCCACTCCCTTCATTTTTTTTCCAGCATGGCAGTCTAATTCTTATAATGAGTTTGCATACCATCTTTGATTTCTAATGAAAAGTTAATTATTTAGCTATAAAGATAACCTATTTGGAGGGTTTAATTAATCCTTCACTTTCTATTATTTAAAAATGTTTAAGGGTGAAGGGATCTACATAGACAATTTGTTGAAAAAATAACCTTAGATTAAGATTGCAACCACCCCATATGCTCACTTTTAAATTAAGTGTTACTTAGGGTTGACTTCTGCCTAACTTTTAAAATAACGTGCTCTAAAGGCGTATTTGCAAAGTGTTAGCTGGATATTATCTGCCGTCTCCTTTAAATTCCTAGAAATACACACCACAGAATATTTACAACATTTATGGTAGGCTTCAAGAGATTGGCAAAAGACACCATGTACATATTTTAGGTCCACTTGATTTTATACATAGGGGGCATGTCTCGTCCGTGGAACCGTTAAACAAATCAAAAGTGTGAAATCTAATCCGAGCAAGTAGCTTGCAAATCAAAAGTCCCTCCCTATATTTAACCAAAAAAAAAAAGCCGGTATTGTTTAATTAGAGTCGGGGCTCTTTCCCTTCTCCCCCTTTGCTACCTCCGCGACATCTAAAATGGCAAGGTCACAGAGTTTGCTGGCACAACCCACCGGCGCCCGTTTTAGATTTCCCTTTTTTTCCCTTTTTTTTTGCATCCTTTCTTTAAAATCCTGAGCGCGCAGAATCACGGAGCTCCCCCATTCGCTTCGGATCACCGCTCCGCTTCCTTTAAAAAAACCCTTTCGCCACACATATCGTCTCCCCGATATGAGGTGTGTCCGCGTACCCACGTCCACCCGTGTGCATCCCCCACCCACCCCCGTCCCCGGGGTATGCCTATAAGCTGCCGGCCACGTTATTAGGAGCGACCCTTACCCGAATGGGTTTTGCCAAGTGAGGCTTCCCCGGCCACCCAGCCGCAGGCTTATTTCCAAGAGGCGCGACGCCCGATGCCGACTTCGATTAAGGTTTCGCGCACAGCCAAAGAGCCGCGCGGACCCGCCCTCCTCAGGAGCAGGAGTTGGGGCCGGGGGTCGGCGCCTGGATAGCGGTGCGCGATTCCGGCGACCCGGCCCTGCTAAAGCCGGGGGAAGGTTGGACGCCATCCCCAAATGCCGCCCGGGATCCTCCTCGCCTTCCCGGTCGCCCCCTCGGCAGCTCCGGCGATGGCACACGCCGCTCCACACCCACCCAGCCAGCCAGTCACCCACCCACCGGCTCCCTCTGGTTTCTGCGCGGCGGAGTTGCCGGCCTCGCCAGCCACAAATCAGCGCTACCCTCCGGAGACTGGGGAAAGCCGACAAAGGGGCTGACAAGCAAGGAGGTGGTGGTGGGGGGCTTCTCCCTCTTTCCCTCCCTCCCTCCTTCCCTGCTGCCCGTCCGCCCTCTCCTTCCTTTCCCCATTTCTAGGATGCGGCTCCAAAGTCCCGAGCCGCGCCATTCATTCCCCAGCCCTGCCCGCGCCTACCGATGGTCGGCTAGCCGGCCGGCAGGCTGCGTGTCAGGCGAACGCCCGCGGCATCTCCGGCTCCTTTCCCCCCGTCACATCGCTCTGAGCGCCATGTTCCTGCTCTCCGTGGTGCCACACTTGGCGAGGGAGGCCAGTAGGCACCGCTCGGCGGCTCGGGCTGGCTGCTGCGCCGCTACATCCGGGCTGCCGATGGCCAGAGCTCGACATCGCCTCGCAGCGGCCGTGAGCCGAGTTGCTCCCCGTAAAGAAAACGCTTTCCTTGGAGGAGGAGGAGGAGGAGAAGGAGGAGGAGGAAGGGGGCTTACCAAGCTGGAAGGTTCTCCTAAATCTCCCTTCACTTTTTTGCAGTGCGCCTTCCCAGCCTCCTACCTCCTCCCCTTCTAATAACAGCTCCCCTCCCTCTCTCACGAGATTTAAAGAGCAAAAAAAAAAAATTAAAAAGGGGTGTGTGTGTCGTTTTCCCTCATCAAAATGCCTCCTTCTCCCACTACCCTTTTCATTGCTTGGTTATGGTTAAAGGTAACCGGGAGAAGAAACTACTGATTCAAACCGCATAGCAGCGCAAGCAATTCCAGTCTTTTTTTTTAAAAAAATGGCCTTTTGCTATCAGCGCTCACTGTGGGTTCTAACTTCACAAGCTTGATCCAGGAATATTAATTATTATTACTATTTTTTATTATTTTTAGAAAGAAAGCTGGGTTTGGATATTGGTGGCTATATGTGTAAATGAGTAATTTTTTTAATGGATAATTTAGGAATGGTTTGCCTTGCCTTGCCTTGCCTTGCCTTGGGATATTTCTCTCAGCTTCCCAGTCTAGCCTACAGTCTAGAGATTTCCTTGTGGTCCCCTGTTCAAGTATTAACCAAGGGCAACATTGCTGAGCCAAAATTAACTGAGTATCATCACTTGTTCTGTTCTTTTCAAGAAAAGCAAACAGTGTTTGTGGTATGAGATCATCCTGTTCCTACTTTATGTTCCTCTTTGGACAGTCCTGCAAAGATCACTTAGGTTGAAAGCCAATAAATTAATATCTGGGCTAAACAATTGTTTGGAAATTACACCGATGTAAATGAAGATTAAATGTAATTGTGTTAATGTAGCTCTTGATTCTTAAAAGCTTCTGTTGTATAACCTATCCATGCATATGAGAGATAGGTTTACAGGTTAAGCCAATCCCATTTACTTTTCAAACAGATCACCAGTGTTACACCTTGGAAAAACGTGTAGTGGCTAGCTTCCAACAATTATTAGGAAAACCTTTAAACCCAAGTACAGATAGCCCTCAATTTATGAGCACAATTGAGCCCAGAATTTATGTTTGTTAAGTGAATCACTGCAGTTGTTAAATTAGTAACACGGTTGTTAAGTGAATCTGGCTTCCCCATTGAGTTTGCTTGTCAGAAGGTTGCAAAAGCTGATTGCATGACCCCAGGACTCTGCAACCATCATAAATATGAACCAGTCGTTGAGTATCCAAATGTAAATCATATGTGACCATTGGGGTGCTGCAATGTCATATATATGAAAAATGGTCATGTCATTTTTTTCAGTGCCGTTGTAACTTTGAACCGTCACTAAATGGATTGTTGTAAATCGAGGGCTACCTGTAGTGTCAAATTAGAAACTCTGCATCAAGATTTCGATGGGATATATTTCAATCAAAGCCACATTTGATACCCGTACACCCATAGAGCTTCAAATAATGAACACTTGCATTAAACAAGCATAGTTACATCCTGATTGCTATTATGACCATCTCAAAGTGTGATCTGACGGGATGAAGAAAAGCAAGTTTCCATTGCCCCAAATTTCAACCTATGGATGACTGTTTGCTCAGGGCTATCGTGTAGCTCTCTGAAAAATTTTGTCCATGTTTTGGCCACATGTCTGTAAAATTTTAAATGAATTTTTAAAATAGGTCTCTTGAGAAGTTCAAAAGAAGGGCTCAGGCTCATTTCTACTTGATGCATGTGTGTGTGTTTGTAGCTTAATATTAACATATTCCATTTTAATTTTTTTAATCAGGTATTGTATTATATGCATACTACATTTCATCTTTATGGTGAACATGGAAGTAATTTAACTATTAGCAATTAAACTCTCTCCCCATTGCAGATTAGATCTTCAGCTTTTCCTCTTTTGGACTCGTTGCAAGTAATGGCAGTAGGGTAGTTTGGCACAATGTGCTTATTACTTCCAGTTGATTTAGACTTTTTTTTCCCTTAAATCCACCTTTTCACTTATTTTTATGATACTGGTGAAAGCACCGATCTTATAAAAACATACGAGTCGTCCTCAAATTACAACAGTAATTGGGAGCGGAATGTCCATTGCTAAGTGATGTGATATGATTGTAAAGCAGTGATGGCAATCCCAGCCCTTACCATTGCTGTCGTTAACTGAATTCCAGCAGTCATTGAATGGGTACCCACCCCAATCCAAGCCATTCCAGACTTGGTCTTTCCCAGCCCTGAAACTTCGATAAGATAAGGAACTGCCTCCTCTTCAACTCCCCCACCCCTCTGCCCTCTCCAGTCTCTGCCCTTTTGGCTGCCATACTCCCTGCCTTACAGGGTAATAAGCAGCCCCAAAACTGTGGGCTGTGTGGATTCTTGCCACCCTGCAGCTGAGGTGCTTCTTGGTACACAGAGGCTCTGGCGCCGCAAGAAGCCCCTGAACTGCACTGCAAAGCTGCAGCTATCCCTGGAAGCTTCAGCCCAGGGGTGAAATCTATTTACTTTCCCTACCGGTTCGGAAGTGCGCACGCAGACCCTCTGCGCACAAACCCTTCTGCACATGCACAGAGGGTAAAAAACAGGTTACTTCCTGGTTTTAACGACAACTGGGTGGGTGGGCGGAGCCTCGTGCCGCCATCGCTACCTGTTCGACCGGGCCGGTCCGAACTGGTAGCATTTCACCCCTGCTTCAGCCCCACCCCCACCCCCCAGTAGTCTGCTGTGGTGTGAAGCCCCAGAAACCCCAGAAGCGTGGCACAAAACTGCAGCTATACCAGAACACCTCAGCTACCCCCAGGCCAGTTCTATCTGCAGTCGCCTTCATCACCCTGCACTCTGAGGCCCCTGCCTTTCTGAAATTGGTGAAATTTGAATGATTGTGCTAGAACTGTATAACTGCCAAGAGGGATATCGCAATCCATTCTTTATATATATTCATTTGTTTCGTGCTTTTCTCTTTTTGTTTTCTTCTCCCCCCCCCCCCACTAGCACTGATGATGTTACCTAGTTAGGGTAATGAAACACTGCAAGAAAGCTCAGAGAGCACCGAAGATCCCTTCGTTTCAACCATGAACTACAAATATTCTTCTTTATTGGTATGTGCTTTTCTCTCTGCTTTTTTTTTTCTTTTTTCTCATCCAGAGTCAAAGATGACAGTTCAACAGACCAGGTGTGTGTGTGTGTGTGTGTGTGTGTGTGCGCGCGCACATGCACACACGCGTGCCAAAAACAAAAGCCACTCTGTCCTATCAGAGTTGCGTCAAAATTGGTTTCTCTCCATTCAGAGCCACAGGGCCTCCAGACTCTCCACCCACCCATAACTGTATCTCCTGCCTAGTCAGGGGTGGAGATGTATAAATGGATATCAACAGCATGTTGGTGATATGGTACTGTGTGTTGTCAGATGACCTCACACAGCAATTTCATGTAAATGTCACAAGAGGAAAGAACCTGAGCCCTGAGGCCACACACACACACACACACACACACACACACACACACACACACACATCACTGCAGGGTCCAGGGCTCAACCTCTCCTGCCTCCCAACCGCAACTGAACTAGCCATGGAGAAGGAAGCAGAATCATTACAAAGTGCCTCCCATTCCCAGCTCCCAAAGCCAATCCAGAAGGATACCATATTTGATGGTATTGGAGCCCACTGAGAAATTCAGGAGAAAGCCATGACAGTTGTACCACCCTCATCCCAAGCCCTCCAAAGGTCATCAGCAAGGGCCATCTCCATACTGTATCCTGGCCTGAATTCAAACTGAAAAGAGACCAGATAATCTGCTTTATACCTTTCACACTTTATCCTGTGAAGGTGAACGCCAATCACTTTCTCAACAACCTTCTCACTCTTATCACCACAAGGTAAATCTTAATATAGGTTCTTACCTGTGCTCGATTGATGTCACTCTTGGTTTTTTTCCAGAAGCACTGTAGCTGTCTCTTGTGCTGCTTCATCTCTTGAAGCTGCTCAGATGGGCACAATTCGGTTCAGTGCCTCATTCCAAACAGTAATAAGGGCATTGGTCGAAAAAGCCAAAGCTTCCTCTGAAATTTCAGTCTATGTCATGTCAAGGGTGGATTTATTTAATAGACCTGGGGTGTCAAACCCGATTTCATTGAGGGCCACATCAGGGTTGTGTTTGACCTCGGAGGACCAGGATGGGTGTGGTCAGGGTGGGTGTGGTCATTATGGGCGGGGTCGGGGTGGGTATAGCCATGGTGGGTGTTTGACACAAGCTCAAGATGCATTTTTTGCCCCTTTGCATTCAAAACATCTATTCCAGACAAAGGGAGATTTACTTTCTGGCACAGATAGTCTCAATTCCATAATGTAGAAATTAAAGACATGTAGAGTCCCCAGCTGCTTTGCTTTTTGTATAGGAGCAGATCTGAATATGTGTATAATATTGTCCGA